CTGCTTCCCATGCTGCGGTCAGCCAGGCCACCGCACAGTAAGCTCCGCCCCCGCCGCACGCTAAGCCCCGCCCCCGGCACGCTAAGCCCCGCCCCCGCTGCAAATTTTTTTAATTAATTTTTTATGATCCCGGGCGGCCATGTGTGAGCTGTGCCGGCCGCCTGGCTCCCCCTGCTCCCATGGGGCTCTGTGCGGCCGCACAGCTCACACATAGCCGGCCGGGATCAGGGCTGTCAGACCGGCCCCAGGTGCCGCGGCCCACCGGGAAATTTCCCGGTATCCCGGTGGGCCAGTCCGGCCCTGGACACAGATCAGAATAGGGAATGTTACCCCAACATCGGGTCACTTGGCAGATATGGATTGACACCTGTCCTAAGGATCCCTGATACACACTGACACAGAGCAGAATAGGGAATGTTACCCCAACATAGGGTCACTTGGCAGATATGGATTGACACCTGTCCTCAGAGCACCTGATACACACTGACACAGAGCAGAATAGAGACTGTTCCCCCTACATAGGGTCACTTGGCAGATATGGATTGACACCTGTCCTCAGAGCCCCTGATACACACTGAGCCTGAATCAGAATAGGGAATGTTACCCCAACAGCCAGGGTCACTTGTTCAGGCTACACACAGAATTTAGGGCTACTGCGGTTTGGCCCGTTTAGTGTCGGAGTGTTCTGAACGCAGCTAAGTCTGGTTTTCCCTTACTAGCTGTAAAGATGGCAAAAAGTTTTTCTTTAAAAAAAATAACAATATTATAATGGTAAGGAATTAGGTATATAATGATAATGCATTATATGCAATTAAATTTAGAGTAGTGAATTTAAACCTGGTGTATCTCTTAAAGGTAAGATAATTTACAATGGTATTTGAATGGCAAGTGTTAACTCTTGATCTGAGCATGATGACAGTTATTCACCAAGTGAATTTCAAATTTAAGTCCAAATTAGCCACACAGGAAGCATCGCTGAATTAGACAATGTTTTAAATTCGGCTATTTTGACCTTAAATTTAATATTAACTTTAAATACACTTAGAATTGACTTATAATTCTCACTTTAGTAAATAACCCTGAATATTTAGTTACAAATGTATTGGGATTGTGAAGATGCAGCACAAAATATGATTAATGTCTAGTGCCAAATAATGAGTGAAAGGACAAACGTAACAACATCAAATCAGCAAAATTGTGGAGTATGGTTAATGGTTACACAGGAACTCAATTACACAAACAGAAGGCAAAAAATAAAAATATTAGTTATTTCTCTTAGTATGAAAAAAATGAAGCTGTCACACGGTGAAAAAAGTAGTGTAAAGGTTAAGATGAATCATCAGAAAGAAGTCACCTTTAAATTTAGAACAATTAAAGGCTAAGCACCATAAACACTACACATCACTGTTGTGGTTATGGTTATTACAAAGCAAATCATTTTTGCGTAGTGTCCTCTAGGGTGTGTTGAGACAATTGTAAACAGTGTGACAAAATACAATGGCTCACCTGGCATCCAAACCCAATGAACTGTAATGGCCATGTTGCTTAGTGTGCCCCTTTAAATCATTAGTCATTACAGCAGGTTCAGTAAAGAAACAAGACTGAGAATTAGTAACTTTTCTGAGCACATTTCTGCTGTTTTCATAAGTGAAAAACCACTGTATGTTTTTCCTTCCAACAGTTTAGCACAGTCTAAATTGCAAGTGGCCATGGATATAAGCTATGCAGAGAAGAGAGAGCTCATCTCCAATCCATTCATTCATAGATGTTACTTTTTTGTCTTTGGACGCTAATCGGAGTGTCAACGGAGATGTTAAAACCACAAACAAAAAATTCAATTGTTTGTCATTGTAGCACAAGATAATAACATGACTATAAGCCCTTGAGCATATTTGGTTGCAGCTTCTGGATAGCTCCACTACTTAGCCTGTTTTCCTTTTTTGCAATCTCTGGGATGTGTCTTAAATTAAATTCTTATTTTAAGCGAACATGTTCTTCAAAAAAAAGGTTTCATGTTTCCTGACAATTTTTTTAGCAGCTGTGTCTACTTTAAACTGGCATTTTTTGCGGATATGATACAGTCTCTTTATCATGTTTCCAGCTGAGGTGTATTGCAGTGTGTTGGATTTAATTTCCACTGAAACAGAACTACCGGTACAGAAGGATTTTGTGGTTGTGTCTTAAGAGACTTTGTTGCATCCGGAGGTCCTAAGGTTCTGTCTGTGAGGAATTGTCATCAAGAGGGAGAATTTTGATCCTTGAACCTCCAACCTTATTTGCTTCGATAAAACAGTAAATCTTTCACTGTGGCTAGATGTGGTTCTTTCAGTGATAGTTTACAATATATACATATTTCATGATTATTCTGCTTGCAAACACAAAAGTAACTTCTATAAGAATGAAGTGATTTAAGGTATCACTTTAATCATTAAACTCATTTACAATCTAACTTGTCAACCACAATTCTTTCTTTTTCACATCTGCGTTTATTAATTCACAACTCACATTGATAATAACGTGTACATGGCATTATTTGTGTGGATATATTTAGTAGCAGATTCTCACTCATTAATGTGTTATAGTAGATTTATAAAGGTGACAATATTTAAAAACCCTTGTTTAATCCATTTTACTATTTTGTTATACTACAGCCCAGGGCTGCCGCTGCCATCAAAAATATTCAGACCTCTTCAAAAATTGTCTGGGCCCTCCACATAGATACATACATCTTGCGACACATGCACAGATATATGCATAAACGGTCATGCACACACACTCTTCCAAGATACACACAGATACACTGTGTTGGAAATCAGTTCACAATGTCAGATACACAAATAAGCAGATACACAGAGTTAGACACACACTCTGTTAGACACACATAGACTCATTCCCACTGTTAGACACACATGTACAATGATGGAAACAGACACTGTCAGACACGTTCTGTATGCACAAACACACAGACATAGATATATACACACACACACTGCCAAACAGACACACTGTCAGAAACACACATACAATGATCCCCAACTACTTCCCTTCACATTAAGCAGCCAACAATATTCCCAGCCCCTATTCTTTACCCCCCTTCACTCAGACAGTCCTACCTATGCCATATCTGAAGGCAAATGATCCAGCACACGGTTGCCAAAGGGTGGTGATATGACAAAATGCCATGTCCTTGCTCCCTCAATACACTTCCTCGCATATGAGCACTCACCTGTTGTTTAGAGTAGCTCCATAGCAACACTGGAAGGAAATTATATCAAAATATTATATCCACCAGCACTGCCACCTACAATGGAGCTGATCTTGCTCCCATGTTATGTTGGGCAGCATATCAATCTTCCCATCTGGACCACTGAGAGCTACAGGGATCCATGTCCACTACAGGGCACCCAGTACACTTCAGCTCATTGAGGTGTTCTGGATGCAGTGTCCCTGTCCCCCTTAGCCCTGCAATGTAAAACATTGAGGTTTTAGAGAAACTGTCATATTTACATTGCAGTGGTAAGATTGCTTTTTATTGCTGTCTACCAGAAAACCACTGGTGGCACTTACTTCTGTTTCAACTCTGTGAAATGACAGCATCTTCAAAATCCCCATAGGAAGGCATTGAGTTAATGTTTTCCTATGGGGAAGGCCTAAAATGTGTGTGACACTCACCACACATGCATATTAGATTCCCCCTCGTGCTGAAATAAGTTAAGTGAAAAAAACCCATAAACTATTTTTTCTTTAACCCTTTCAATGCTAAGACACAGGAAGTGGGTGTGGGTGTAGAGGGGACAGAGACGCATTATAGTGTTAGGAATACAACTTTGTATGCCTATCTCCAGAGTCTCCATAGTGTCCTGCGCCACACTGATGGCGGCTCTGCTACAGTATACAATTCCCAAGTCATCACATCTCTGGAATAGTTTGGCCTTTGAAGAGTTTTAATGACCTTAGCAGTATTATCAGTTACCGAACAAATTTACCAAACAGCAATGTAGGCTTTGAGAAATGACATACAAGTTTTTTTTTAACAATCTTTATTTAAGAAGTTTATGCCATAAAGCAGCAAGTAATGGAGAAAGTAGAAAGCAACTTTTAGTACATACATGCAAGTTGAGGTAAACAGTAACAATGAATAGACTAGCCATAAGTCCCTCATACTAAGCAATATGCACAATAACTGTTTGGTTTAGGGTCAATTATATGCATCAAGAGAAAGATAGAAAGAAGATTAGAGAGCGAAAAAAAGGAGTTGGGAGGGAGCTGGATGGTGAGCCACCAGAACGTAACCCACCAGATTTAGAGATGGACCTATCTGTCGCATTACCCAGATAGGACAGCCAGGTCCTCCACACCTTCTGATACCTCTCTGTCGTGCTAGGAATGATATACTATTAACTTGAATCAAACATTAACAGGCAAATAAAAATTAGCAGGGGAGTTTCTACAATTATTGCATGATGGCCAAGGAATTTCTACTTGCACATGACTATGAATTCATTCACTAACATTAATTCACATTATGGTGAATTTCTCAATCAGTTCTCTTTCAGTCACTGGGACCTATACAGTAAAAATTGACTTGTGGTTAGCTGACTTGGTTACTGAACGTCAAACGTTAGTTCAAAATTACGGAGGTGGAAAATGACCTAAAAAGCATCTTTTTGGCTTAAGTTTTACAAAGTTTTCAGTGTACCACAATTCCCTCCAAATGGAATAAGACCCACTCTTTAGTAAATTCATTGAGCATGTTTGATTGTTTAGATCAAGCATTTATGTTATGTATGGCATATAAGGTCCAACTATTGCCACCGAGTTATGCTAGTCAATCCAGTGGCAGACACATTAATTAATAATAAAACAAAGAAAGTACTCATGTTTTATATAGTTGTGGCAGTCACTTACTTAAACGTACTTAGTGTTTTGGTGTACTGGTAGAATTGTTCTGAAATATTTTGAATCAAATATATTTCAAGAACTATTTTTAAGGTTTTTACCCCCTTTATATTGCTTTCTATGCATCTTCTCATCTATAAAATAAGACTTTATTTTTCTCCTATATTTCGCTCTATAGACAGCCTGAAATCATACTTTTGTGGGATTAAATTTAACACCTTTTCCCATTTTCACTTAATAAAACAATAGGAGCTGCTTAGTTAATATGAGAACATTTACATCTTGTATAAATATGAGGAGAAAGAAAATCATTTAAGAATCAAAAAGTCAGGCATTACATGCTATTCATTATTTTATGTCTGTCACTGTAACAGGAAATGTAATAAATTCCATAGGGTGTCTTTTCAACAAACATAAAGGCAGCAGCTGTGCCAAGTCATTAACTAAAACTAAATTAGATGAAAAAGCCCCAGAGCTGAAGTAATGCTGTAGAAATTATAAACACTTTCCATAAATCTGCCCACTCTTTTTTGTTGTTGTTTTAGTAGTAGCAGCAGCTCTCTGATCTCCTCTTTATATAGAGCAGCTTTTAAGGAATTTGTATTTTGCAGATTCGGAGAAATCAATGTGCACATTTACAAACCCCTGATGAGATGTTAGTAAGGTTTTTAGATTTGTTTTGCTGCACTCTTCCAAAACCAAGTCTATGTGCCCAATTTCAGAATTTCTGTACATGTATACAAGTGTGTGTGTGTATGTGTAAATATGTGTGCAGTGTAGATTTGATTATATATGTTATATGTAGGAATCATTTGGCATTTGTGTAGATGAGTGTACTTTAAAAAGCGTGTATTCTTCCTTTAGTCGATGATAGGACTTGGGTCCCACTACCGTGCCGTACCTATCAGCATTTTGGCTACTGGCTCTAAGAGTAGATGCTTATAGTATTAAAGGCATATAATTAAAGGAACACTATAGTCACCTAAATTACTTTAGCTAAATAAAGCAGTTTTAGTGCATAGATCATTCCCCTGCAATTTCACTGCTCAATTCACTGCCATTTAGGAGTTAAATCACTTTGTTTCTGTTTATGCAGCCCTAGCCACACCTCCCCTGGCTATGATTGACAGAGTCTGCATGAAAAAAAACTGGTTTCACTTTCAAACAGATGTAATTTACCTTAAATAATTGTATCTCAATCTCTAAATTGAACTTTAATCACATACAGGATGCTCTTGCAGGGTCTAGCAAGCTATTAACATAGCAGGGGATAAGAAAATCTTAATTAAACAGAACTTTCAATCAAGAAAGCCTAAATAGGGCTCTCTTTACAGGAAGTGTTTATGGAAGGCTGTGCAAGTCACATGCAGGGAGGTGTGACTAGGGTTCATAAACAAAGGGATTTAACTCCTAAATGGCAGAGGATTGAGCAGTGAGGCTGCAGGGGCATGTTCTATACACCAAAACCGCTTCATTAAGCTAAAGTTGTTCAGGTGACTATAGTGTCCCTTTAAGTCAGGAGTTCTCTAATGAAGTCTTCTCCTGACTGTATGGAGGTACCTGGCTAAAGAGTGCAAAGATTAACACAGCTTCCTGAAAACGTGATCAACGGATACAGTTATACGAGCCATGATTTTTGCTTTCAAAATTGTATCTTTGGTGCATTGTGTCTGTGCAATGTTTTGTGCTCTGACAGATTGCATCATAACAATATAGTAATGATTTGTCCGAACAAACCAGCCTTTAAAATCCCATGTGAAGGGGGCGTGTCCGACAGCCGGCATGAGCGGTCGCATGGAGTAGGAGCTCCCGGCTACAACGGACCCAAACGCAGCGATTAGGCGAATCCGGAGGTCAATACCCGGTAATAACTCACCCGGCACTTGATATAGCAACATGGCACCGTCCAAGCAATTAAAAATGACGGACCAAATAAAACCCGCCAGAAAAGACAAAAGCAGGCCTCTGCAAGATGGCGACGACAGCACGGGCTGCTATCCCACACCAGATCAGCTCTCAGACACTGACACAACGTCCTCCTCATACACAGAGGCACCAGCCAGCGAAAAAAGGCTGTTTATTATGCTGCAAGAACTGAGAACCACTTTAAATGCGGACATGAAACAAATGACTGCAGAATTTAAGCGGGAACTGGCCGACATTGGAGACCGCACAGACCGCCTGGAGGTACGGACGGAGGAAATGTGCGCCACACAAAATGATCTTGCAGAACAACTGCAAGCGCTCCGTGACGAACACCTACTGCTGAAAAGGAAAACGGCAGATATAGAAGACCGCTCCAGGCGCAATAACGTGAGATTCAGAGGCATTCCTGACAGTGTATCCCATGACACACTCCCTGACTATATAACAGGCCTCTGCACTACTCTGGCACCGGCCATAGAGAAGGACAGGTGGCTTATGGACAGGGCCCATCGCATCCCTCGGCCACCGCGATTCGCAAATGACACACCAAAAGACACGGTGGTCAGATTCCACTATTTCAAGTCAAAAGAAACACTGATGGTCGCGGCGCGCAAACAACAGCAGCTCCCCTCACCGTACCAAGGCATCCAGGTATACGCAGATCTATCGGCGCTCACCATGGAAAGAAGACGGGAATTCATCACAGTCACGAAGACTCTACGCAACCATAACATACAATACCGCTGGGGCTACCCAACTAAACTTCTACTATGGAAGGACAACACGCATCATAATATCGACACCCCAGATGAGGGCCTACAACTTCTACGAAAATGGGGATTATTTGGGACCAAGGACCCTCCTACACAGACACCACATACGCACCAACGATTGCCGACGGAATGGCACATGGCGGGCTCGCCTACGCCACAGCAACCACAACAAAATGTATAACGGGACTAAGCGTAAGCAGCACAAGAAAGACCAGGACTATGTGTGACATCCCTCAACTGAAGAGAAACCAATATGTATGTATGTATGTATTGACACGATTGAAATACTGACATTGCACATTTCAGATACCAACTCCATAGGAGTTAACACATAGGCCCTGGCAGGGCGACACAAAACACACACAAAAAAAAGCACGACAGTAGATTAACAACCTTCTACACAATGAGACGCCTTATTTCTCACATTTGTTTAAAGGGCCGTTGACACGGCAGCACACCTTAGTTCACGCCCCCCAGGTTGATCCGCGGCCCGGTCCAAAAGCGGCCCGTAGACCAACCAAGTACAATGCCCGCACCCCAAGGGGCATCATGTATATACTTTGTTTATGTTTTTTCGTTTTTATTAATGTTTATGCATATGTTCTTGTACCTATTACTGTCCAATACCCGACTATACCACCTGAAACCATGCAAACACACCCGCACCATGAGGGCACTGAACCAATCATTAGAGGCGCAACCTGATACACGCAGAACTAAAACAAGGAGTAGTGGGTTCTCCCCCCATTGGATGCCTAGCACTAACTACACCCAAATCCCCGAACCACAAACCTGATGGCTAACACACTACAATTACTCTCTCTTAACGTTAAAGGACTTAACAGTCCCCACAAACGGAGGTTAGCTGCGCAGGAACTGCGCTCATCCAAGGCAGCAATTGCCTGTCTGCAGGAAACCCATTTTTGTAAACGCAACCCACCAAAATTCTCAGTGAAACAGTATACACAGGCCTTTCACGCCTTCTCCCCAACTAAATCCAGAGGGGTCTCTATATTCTTCCATGATGATTGGGCATTCACGATGAACAAACAGCACACCAACAGGGACGGCAGGCTACTTATATTGGTAGGAACCTTAAACGGTATAGAAATTACTATAGCCTCACTATACGCACCTAATGAGGGCCAAAAATCCTTTCTCGCCTCAGCAATGAGAAAACTAGACAGATATAAGAGCGGCCATGTAATCCTATGTGGTGACTTTAACTGCACGACTGACCCATTTGCAGACGTAAGACGGACGGGGAACAAAGGTCCCAAAAACACGTCTATCTCACTAGGACATCACCTGACCAAGTTAATCACGCTACATGACCTCTATGACTCATGGAGATGCCTCCACCCCGCGGACAGGGACTATACGTATTACTCCCCGGTCCACATGACATATTCTAGGATAGACCTATGCCTCACTGACAAAAGCACCCTAATACACCTTGTTGACGTTTCTATAGGTCCAATAACATGGTCTGACCACGCGCCGCTTATGGTTACGCTTCGCGTCCCGTACCCGGCTCGTGGAAGGGGCACATGGCGCATGAACGAAACTCTGGTGGACAACCCAGAAAACTCCAAAACCTTAAATAAACAAATCACTGACTTCTTTGAGAACCACGCAAACTGCACAACAGACATTACAACCCAATGGGTAACACACAAGGTGGTAATAAGAGGGGCACTCATTCAAATGGGAGCTAGAAACAAACGACGAACACGCTCGCAGAAAAATGACCTGATATCGAAACTCACAACTTTAGAAGCCTCCCACAAGCAACAACCCAAAAAACACACTCAGAAACAATTAGAACAAATACGGCTCCAACTACATGCAATAGACCTGCACAACACCGAAAGGCACATGCGCTATCTCAAACAAACCCACTATGTCGAGGGCAATAAAGCAGGGAAATTGCTAGCTAGGAGACTTAAAAAGAGATATCAAGCCTCCAAACTGCCATACATAACGTCCGCAACAGGCGACAAACTCTTCAATCCACAAGACATGGTGGAGGAACTAGCCTCCTACTACGCCATGCTCTACCAACTAGATAATGACCGAAACACTCACCAACCCACACAGAGAGACATACAAGCCTTCTTTAATGGCATCACCCTCCCGACCCTAACCGAAGAACAGAAAGCCTCTTTGGAAAAGCCATTCACGGATGAAGAAATTCGCTCTACAATAAAGTCCTTACCAAAACGCAAAGCGCCAGGCCCGGATGGGTTAACAAACCACTACTACCACATATTTGGAGACACTCTGACCCCACACCTCACCAAGCTTTTCAACCATATCAAAAAAGTAGGAGCTGTCCCGCCAGAAATGTTGGAAGCCATATCGTGACCCTTCCAAAACCCAACAAACCCCCCACAATATGTGCCAATCTCCGACCCATCTCACTGCTAAATGCTGATATCAAACTTTACGCTAAGCTATTAGCGAACAGAATAAAACCATTCCTACCCAAATTAATCTCGAAAGAGCAAGCAGGGTTTGTCCCCGGAAGGCAGGTGGGAGACAACACAAGACACTTTATCAATCTAATAGAATGGGCACACAAATCAAACTAACAGGGAATCCTCCTGGCTCTCGAC